ATCCCAGAAAATCATATCAAATCAAATCAAGGATTATATGCCCGATCACGCCCTCGCAGTGCCCCGATCATCTAGAGTACCTGAAACATAAACTAAAACCGTAAGCCCAACGCTTAGTGAGATTCCCCAAGATACCACACACAACAGATAAATAGACATATACAATGCATGTTGGGCCCACAACCTCCCGGTTGGATTACCCTGGCCCACAACCTCCCGATTGGATTGCCCTGGCCCACAATCTCCCGACTGGATTGCCCCGGTCTGTCTGTCTACCGCACAAAACAGTGACCTCAACCCAATGAACATATGTCGACATATATATATATATATATATATATATATATATATATATAAACATCCAATACAGTTAATCATACAGATCTAACAGGTCACTATAACATATCGATATCCTTCAAACCAGGATACCTAATCTATCAGGCCGAAATTTGGTGCCTTCGACCCCAAGTATAATGAGGAAGAACTCACCTCACAATCAGGCGAGAACAGGAAAAATGCACAACACCGTGAATGATTCCAAAAACTGGCTCAACGATCACCTAACCAATACCAATGACCTAATTTTAATTTACAACTCAAAATACCCAAAATACCCCTAGGTCAAAAACTCTGGTCAAAGGTCAAAGTCAACGAGTCAAATCAGTTAACTCAGCTGAGTAAGCGGGGCGTACTAGCTTGTACGTTGGGCGTACACGAGCCTTGACCGGGATCGGGCCGTTGACCCCGTATGTACGTCGTACTCAGAAGCTACGCATGGCGTATGCACCGAAGTCCCTTTTTCCATAATAAGAGCTTAATGTATTAAGCTCTTACGTTCTAGTTATAGATCTAAGGCAAAATTACCACTGAGAGTCATAAAGTTTCCAACTTTATGAATTTGCATGTCCATTAAGTGCTTAATACCAACAAGTCTAACTTCTTAATCCCTAAAGACATTCTAGAGCATGCATGGGGAAGAACTAAGCATCAAGATCTCATTTTTATGACTCAAGACCCCTCAATGGGTCTGAAAGGACGACTTATTTGGTTAAAAGCATGCCATGCTCAAGAATCACCAAGGTTGGGACCAAAAATGGCCTAAATGAAGGAATAACTAGATCTATAAGAAAAGATGATCAAGCTATAAGCTTTTTACCTCCTGAAGGTTGCTAGTAAGGTGAGAATCCCATATCCAAACTTCTTCCAAGCTCCAAATTCCTTCCACCACCTTCTTCTTCTTCAAGAATACTGTCAAAACACACAAATGAGCTCAAGGTGCACTCTCCACGATTAGGGTTAGCTAGAGGGACGATTTTTAGGTGGAGGATGATGAGGGTGCAGGTCTTGGGGTCATAAAGGGGATTATATAGGGTGCAAACCCTCAAAATTAGGGTTTTGGTCTAAACACCATACACACCGCGTACATGCTGAGTACGACGTGCATACGCGCGCGAAACTGTGTTCCTCATGTAGGAGTACGCCATGCGTACACCCCGAGTACGCACGACGTAGGGACCAGGAATGCAAACTTAAAGAGTTGAGGGTTAGAAATGAACCTTCTCGGAATGAGTGTTACACTTTGAATAGTGGATTTAAGCTCTTCATTCGGGTGAGTCTTATCATTGTATTACCTATGCCATAGTGGTGTGCATTCTAGACTAGATGAGTCTTATTTGATGATTTTTATGTGTATTATTGGGTTGTTGATAACCTATAAGGTTGTTGTGATCGCATATGACTGTTGATAGTCCTCAAGACTGCTGATAGTCCCTTGGTTTGGCAGCCACATTGACTTTTCCCTTCTTCAGATCATTTAGGTATTTGGGGCAACTACGTTTCCAATGTTCCTTGGTTTGGCAGTAGAAACATATGACCTCATTCAGATTAGTGGTGGAAGCTATCTTAGTTTGGAACTTTCTCTTAGGGCCTTACTCGGACTGTCTGACCTTAGCCTTTCCCATTCATTTGGGATGAGAAAACGTTTTCCTTTTAGCAGAACCATGATCAACGGCCAAGAGGGGTTAGCGAAATTAATAGTCTCTTGTATACTAGCTTCAACTGTTACCAACTACTCATGAAACTCCACGAAGGTCATATTGGGATTGTCTAATTTGTTGTTCATAAAGTAGTCTTGAAATGAAGTGGGAAGAGAGCACAAGACCCAATAAATGGTCCGCTTCTTCTAAATCTCAATACCCAGGTTAGCCAATCTATCAAAGTACGTTATCATCTTATGAAAATACGCACTTATAGATTCCCATATTTGTGCTTACATTCCATAAGAGATTTAGTGATTTCAAATCTTTTAATCTTTACACTAGTAATGATGGGTTTGAAAAGAATTTTAAAGTTTTGAGTTGGTAGAAGAAGAGGAGGATGAAGATTGTTTTTGTTATTTGGGATCGATATCTACAAAAGGGGATTCCGATCAGTTTGATACAATAATTCCTTAAAAATAATTACCCTATATAAAATTATTTAATTAAGACTACGATCCATATTTAGCTCCATGATTCATAAGGGGTCGTCGTAAACACACCATAAAGTTATTTAGGTAGGCAAAATCATTTGCTAATTTTGATCATTACAAAATTTCGAGGTCTTTGAGATTCATCAACTATCAATGGTATGTTAATCTCGGATTATGTTCATCTCAAATTCTATGACGGAGTCATTGTGGATCATAGAACATATGGTGAATCAACCATACAAAATTATGTGGTCTCCGACTCAAGTTACACTTGAGATTTGCGAGTTCCACATCATTCTCTACTTATACTCTCAAATTGATGTGTCAGTTAACCACACGAGCTCCATCAACAAGTTATAAAGAGAATGTGAAATTTCATGGATAACATAAGATTCACATTTAATTAATAAAACGGGATTTTGTTTTATACTTTTATTGATAATACTTTTAACTTGACCATTATCACTATCAAACCCTTTTGGTAACCCACTCTCAAAATGCAATAAGGCGGTGAGGGAAGTAAGCACGAAACATATTAAAACCCGACCTCATTGAGAATCATAGAAACCTCCTTAAACCTCTACCTTATAGTGGGTGAGCCTAGTCATGGTATGACTGAAAATGTCAATACTTAAAAATGCGAGGACACATGTTGTAAATATTTTATACATTATACATATAATAGATAAGTTCTAATATATATATATATATATATATATATATATATATATAAAAGTGAATTTAAAGCTCTTTAAATTTAATAATCTATTATTAATTCTAATTAATTGTGAGGACGCAGTTAACAATTCATAAGGATTTAATAGGAAAGCTCTTAAATCTCAATCATTAACAATAATAAATTTAAATATTTAAATTACATTCAAATAATATTAATAAATATTCAAATTTAAATAATATTTATCTCATACCATATTTAAACAATTTAAATTAGGTAATTATTCATATTTGAAAACCTTATAATTTGAAATTTAAAAAGGAAACAATAAACTCTAATCCGGAGGAGGGCCCCACCTAGAGGGATGCGTGTCGCATGTTTCTTCCGTGCCGAATTTTTACCTATTTTTCTAATTCCAAACATGTTTTAACAGATCAAATGGATCAAAGGGTGCTAGTAATTATGAACTATGACTCTTTCCAACACTTGTAACATCTCGTTATTTTCAAACCAAAATTTTCATTTTTAAAATATAATATTTCATTCAAACATCCATTAATTAATTCATTCATAAGTAAATCCATTGTTTGATAATCAAAAACTCAACTATTCAAATCAGAGTATAAAATAGGACTTGTAGAATTCTCAAAACATGATGTCAATGAGTGTATATACTCGAGCCTTTCCCTTCCTCCCGATCTAACGAAATATCTGCAAAACAGTTAATCAACAACTATAAGCCAAATCTTAGTGAGTTCCCCAGGATACCACATACACAATACACATATAATGCATACAAGCAAGGCTCTTAGTGCTAAAACCGATTCACGTGAACAAAATCGAGTATCTAGGCTTACACCACTATAGTTGATCTTGACATCAACTCGCCCTTGTGAGTGTATAGAATCACAACACTTAAAGTTGATCTTGTCATCAACTAACCTTTTGGCTCTCAGCGGAATGTTGGCATGCCCGCATCTTGGCCTTCCGTATAAAGTTGGAATGCATCAACCCACCATAAAACATGTTGACAATACATAACACATATAAATAGACAATCAGTGTCACATGTAACAGTCTATAAGTCTACATGCCTAACCACATACTACTTTACCAATACATCCTAACATACAAATGATATGTGTTGTAATATATAGTATAGTGGGAAAACTCACATGAATAATTACTTAAACGACAATCAGCGATCCAACTAGCGAGTAGACGCTCCGAACACAAAATGACCTATAATGCTATAACCGATGAAAAACTAAGGAAACTTGATAAAAAAAAAGCTAGATATTTCACTAATATCAATAACACCGACTGACTATCAAATAGGGATTAACCGGTCAAGACAATCATGAGGCATGATCATTTCGACATATAGTTTTTTTGAAGTCCAACAACCAAGCCAACGTGTCTATCCTAGAGACCGCACTCGTAAGTAGATCAATCAGTAATAACTAAGATTAATGACTAATCTAACACACATGTTTATAATAATGACAATTGGTATTCTTCATATCAAGTTATACTTAAGAGAAAGTGTAAGTTACCTGACGGACGAACTCTGAATATCCATAAGCAGAACTGCAGTGCTTACTTCTTATATCCTTCTAAAACCTCCAACGCTTCGCTACTGATACGACTGAAACTATAGAACAAAAATTCGAATCACGAGGGACCGAAATTCTTGAGGGTGAGAGAAAAACTCTTTGGAGAGAAAAAGTGGGGCAAGAAAATGAGGAGGCCAAAGTTCTTTTTTGTAGGCTGAATTTTGACGCGCCATGTCACGGCTATAGGCGCGCTGCTCCGCGGTGGCTGGCTGGTCAGATTCTTCTTTGCATGCACGCAATGCTTAGTTGGAGAGGTCAGGTGCATTTAATGCACCATGCCGTGGTGGTTCTCTATCGCGTCGTAGTGATTTTTATAAAATTCACTAAAACTTAGAAAAATCACAACTTCTTCATACAAACTCCATTTTCGACGTTTTTTATATCCACATGTTCGTCTTCATGAGTGCTACAACTTTCATGTTGATCATTTTGGCTAAACGCAACATATTTTCACCTTCATTTTTATACACAATTGTTTATATCTTTTTATCTCGAATAAATGAAAACATGGTGTTACAATATTCCGCTAAAAGTGAAATAGTTAAAGAAGGTTTATTTTCAAATATATAATTTTAGTGTTCAAATCTATATTAATTTTAAGGAACCCTTATTTTTATAATGGTTAAACGATGTGTACTTCTTAGGTTTCCAACGTAACATAGTATTTTGGTGCATACCTAGGTAATATCATGTTTATTAGTGTCATTGGGGAGTAAAGTCTAGTCACACAAATAAATATATGAGACTCATAAATAAATATATGAGACTCATGTGAGATCACACATAAATTTATTATTTTTATAATTATCTCTATATTGATTGAGATAATTTTTCTAAATTTTATTTGTTTTGAAAGTTTTAGTGAATATAAGACTTATGGTTTGTTAAAAGATCTTTAAATATTGAATGATGATTTTGAATACTGGCTCATATAAGATATGTTTTAAATATTTAAAAGATATTATCTACTGAATGCGATTTTATTTTCACCAAATTAATAAAGATCGATCCACTAAAATGACCAAATTTGGAACCCAAATATCACCTAACAACCACGCTTTCAACTTCCTTTCAACTTCCTTCACAAAATGATCACTTAGTTTTCTAATTATTCGAGAAGCTTATCATCTCCCATATTCCATGTATCTGTATCTATATCTTGTATCTGTATCTATATATATATATATATAACATCATGTGTACTCTTTTTTGATAACTCAAAATATGCCCCCTTACTCTTGTTTTTCAACTTAAGGAGCCCAATCAAGTGACTAGATGAAGAAGATGAGAACATTACTTAATCATATTCTTCACTGGTAGAGCTCACTTGGTTAAAATTTTGAGAATGAAACTAATCTATACACAACAATTTTTTGCTACACACAACATTTTTAGAGGGTTGTACACTATACAAATTGTACAGTCATCTAAAACATAAATTGTTGTCTATGAATCAAGAAGTCACTTTCCAAAAGGACTCATGAGACTCGTCGAGTCCTTGCTAGTACTGCAAAATTTCGCAAAGTTCATGAATCATCCGAGAAGTTTGTTTTCATGAATGATTGAATTCATGATGCGCTTTCCACGAAAAAAACATTTTCACTAATTCACAAAATGTATTTTGGGGAAGTTGATATAAGTTAAAAACATGATTGTTGGGTTCCAAATTTTGGTCATTTCAATGAAAATCAACCCATTAATAGGTGATACCAAATGTAATTGAAGGTATGATTATATGTTAAATTAAATGTTATTATCTTGCCATAAAATCAAGCAACTTAGAAAACATTATACCTAAATTGTAATTTGGTTTAACTGAAACCGACAAATACATAAGAAGATGATAAATAAAAACAATTTTTTTGCATGATGAAATATTGTAAAAAAGGAGAGTCAGGGGTAGTCGGCAGTGTGCGTGCTATTTGCTAAAGTTGAAAACTTGAAAGTCCTATACAGTCTCTCGCCGCGCCAATCTCGTCCGCCACCACCCACCGGATACTGATTAAACTGCCACAGCTGCTTCCTCAACCTCGCGCACTTGGTCTTCTGAAATTTCTAGTATCACTTCTATCTCGTAAGTTCCGATGGAAACTTAATATAAAATCTCAAATTACTTTATCTCGTCAATTCATATTCTTTTTCTTCGAAATGCAATTAATCGTTTAAAACGGTATAATTCTGAAGTTAGAGTATTCTAGGGTTTTTTTGAAGCAGCATAACATTTTGTTTCACCAATTAAGATTTGTTTCGAGTAAAAGTGCCCATCTTGTTGTAAGCCCTCATAATTTTCAAACTGGAAGGGGTTTTCCGATTTGGTATGGTGGCTAGATGAACATGTTTGTTTATTGGGAATTTTACCAAATTCAGTATGTGCCTTCATTATCTATCTTGCCACATTTTATGACGAATCCAATAGAACGCCTGGAGATGCACTGCAAAATTGATGAACTCTTGAATTAGATTTCTTAATAGGAAGAATCTTAGAGGTTGGGTTGTTTTGCCTTTACTCGTTTCTTATCATATTAGAGATCAACAGAGCGTGTGTTTGATAACTACTCCACATGTACTTGATGTTAACTGTTAGTTTCCATACATAGGCTGGATCAATAAATTTGCATATGGAAGGGGGAATCTTGAAGATCAGCAATGGTATATGAGTGATTACCCATGCTTTTGGCTTAGACATCTTATGATTTTTATGAATCAGTCCTAGTACATTTGAGCTAGAAAGCAAGGATGTTTCTACCTGTTGCTGCATCCTTATATCAGGTGCTTTAAGGGTGCAGTTCTTTTGGAAATGTGATAGGTGCTCCCATGCTGTGTTGACAGTATCCATGAGTTATTACTTATTACCCACAAAATCATAAAGATGGGTGATTGAGGATACAAATTGGCAATTCTTGTAGATCAGTATATCTTTTACAATAGATGAAATGGGACTTCACAATTTGCAATGTTAGAAACAATGGCTAATATAGAAAACATACCAAGTTTTATGAGTGCAAAGTACTATATCATTCAAAAGTTTAACAAAATATAACACTCACTCTTTTTTTTTCTCATGTTGTAAAGTACATTTATCAAAAAGTACTACACTTGTAAGTAAAGTTTTGGGGCTTTTAGCAAAGTATGCTTGTTACATGTGTGAGAACTCGAGTTTCCATATATTATGGATGAAGGCAATGAATTAACGAAATTATAAATTAAAGATACAGAATATTCCATATTACTCTTTATTCTAAGTCCTAAACCCTATATAGGACTGGAGCTATTGGTTATTAACTTATTATGCTTATTAGTTTTGTTAAAATAGTCATGACATGATCTTTAAAACTTGATCTTTTTGCAGATGTCGCAACAGAAGGAGGATGCACTTATAAACGAATCTATTGATAGTAAAGAAAAAGACAATAATCAAGATCAAGATGTAGGTAAGTTTTGTAAATATGTTTGGATTAATTATCACCTATATTTGTTGGAAAGTTATGGTTTATATATATATGGCTATCTTAGATTTTCATGTGGTGTTGAATCTAATAGGATATACGAGAAGGTAAATACACTTTATCATAATAATCACAATTAGAAGAATCTTATGTTGTCTTTAAAAAGGTATTGCAATCTTACAACTTTATAAAATCAACAAGTTTTTTTATGTTAACCTAATTGGATAGGGTAAATAAAGAAGAAATATAAAGTAGTAAAAACTTGAAACAATCTTGTCTTGTTGACCTAAATATATAATAGTTGACTGGAAATACTTGTGTCAAGTTATTTTATGACATAAAAATGTAATAATATATTCTTGACATTTTTGGTGTGCAATCAGTTTCATCAGATGATGATGTAATAGACTATTCTGTGAAGCCTGAGTTATATGATCCAAATCTTGATGATAAAGACCAACTCTGGATTCAAAAGAAAAGAAAAGGTCAATATTCTGATGCAGTTCTCACCTGTCCTGCCTGTTTCACAACCCTATGCCTCGAGTCTCAAAGGTATTTTCATGCCCCTGTTTCCTTTTCATGTAAGGGTAAAATGGTCATTTAGTCTCTCATTCAGACGCTTTATTCATTCGGTCTAGAAAAAAAAGAAACAACCTATAAATTGGTACAATAGTGAAAGTACAAGTATTATGTCTCTGCTCTAAAAAGCTAGCTTGCTATTTTGTGTTGAGTCTTGAATCAATTTTAGAAGCTTTTTTGTATCTTGAAATACTGAAAGTGGGGTTTGTTGTTTTGTTACTTATTAGGCATGAAAAATATGTGACCCAATATCGAGCAATGTTTGTGTTAAATTGCAAGATCAAGAAAGGGCAACAAGTATCATCATCATCAGAAGATAAAGGAAGTTTAAAAAGAAAAAGAGTTAGAAAAGTTTTAGCAGTTGATGGTGAGTCATTAAGTCCGGTTTGTTGCTCGGTTTGTGAGACGGAAGTTGGGGTTATTGATGATGATGAGGTTTACCATTTCTATAATGTTCTTCCAAGTGAATGTTGATTATCATTCATATGTTTTTCTAATCTTGGATTTTGTTTTTTTAAGTTTAGATTAATGAGGAATTATGCAACTCACATGAATTATGGTGTAATGTTTACATGAATTATTATACATCATCCATGTTGTAATCGGTTAATTGGTTTTCTGTAAATTGTAGAATCTTTTGGTCATGAAAAATCACTTTGTTGCACAAATTAGGAAGATAAGAAAAGTTGTGGTGGAGGTTGTGTATCAAATATCAATTCATGGTTTCCATATGCGATGCACTTGTAATGGAATTCTTGTTGCAAAGGATTTTCATGAGCACCACACTTTAACCAAATTCTTTTGGATAAAAAGGCAAAGATTTGGTTCAAGGCAAAGTTAAAGTGAGAAAAAGATATATTAAAATAATCATGTTTTCAAAACCTTTTTGGACTTGAAGGAAAAAAAAAAAAAGTTTTTAGATATTCACGTCTAATCTTCTACATATAATACTACATATATTTTATTATAGATGGACCCGGAGTTGTGGATACTAGTCTTTGTTGAAAATCTTAGGCTTCATCATAATTGTATAGATTTTTAGAAAATAGAAAGGTTTTTTCGTTTTTCAAAATAATAAAGAATAAAAGAAAAGATCATTCCTTTCTTTAGAAAAAAAGGTGTTTGGTTACATTAAGGAATTGGATTCTTCATTACATAAGGAATCACATTCCCTCTGATCCGGTGACGTTTCATTCTTTACCCAACCCAGATTTTTTTTTTTCCCTCTCCCATTTGAAAATTGACTAAACTGCCCATGACATAACTGCATCGATTTGGAGACGATGGAAGAATCGGTGTTGAAGGAAGCGCTGTTGAAGAGCATCTCTAGGTATCTTCTGTATTTTATTTCTTCAATTTTAATAAATGAATTTACCAAAATTCAATTCTATGTTCCTCTATCACATGCTAATCGAGTTTACTTGAAATGCCTCATTTGAATTTCACAAAAGAAAAAAAAAACTTATTATATTAAAACAGCGTATATGTACATTTGTTTCTGTGTTTTGTGATCCCTAACAAAGTCTAGGGGAGGGGTAACTTGTATAACATTTTACAAACTATCTGTAATTGGCATGATTGACTTAAAATCTTGAAGCATATGATTTCTTTAGGGTTTAGGTCATTTTTGGTCACTTAACTTTTGGTTTTGTGCTCATTTGGTCACTTAACTCTTTTTAAGTTTTAAAAAGTCATCAAACTTTTTACTTTATGCTCATTTAGTCACTTAACTTTTGGTTTGGTCACATTTAGTCACCTAACTTTTAAAATTGTGCTCATTTAGTCACTAAAATTTTAAACCTTTTTAAAAGTTTAGTGACTATAAGAACACAATTTTAAAAGTTAGGTGACTAAATGAGCACAAATCTAAAAGTTAGGTGACCAAACCAAAAGTGAAGTGACTAAATTAGCAAAAAGTCAAAAGTTTGATGACCTTTTAAAACTTAAAAATAGTGTGACCAAATGAGCACAAAACCAAAAGTTAAGTGACAATAATGACCTAAGATAATTAATGTTTCTTGATTTGTTTTAAAGCAGTGTTGTTGGGAAATACTCAGTGGAAGTGAGGAATTTATCGTTGAGAATGTCCATTCCCAAACAAGTGAAGATGATACAGTGATACGTGTTTGTGTCCATATCACCGGCCACCTCCATGGCCTAACTGGTTTGTTTATTTGATTTACACGTGGCCAACACATTGCATTAGAAAGAGTCCAACATCACCTCCTATAATTATGGAAGCTTCCAAATGTTACATGCATATTCTATTTAGTCAGTAGACCACGTTCACCATTTTGGATTACACACATGATTGCATGTTTTCCTTGTTATTAGCTACCAGTAGGATTTTCTTTAGTTATTTATATGAATGTATTTGCATTATGAACGGAATGGAAAAAGTTATGTTTTTAGTCTCATTTCTAATCTTGTTTTTGGGGCCTAGCCACCCATAATCGGCTCTATCATCTATTTCTTCTATTATTCTTGGGAGGTTGATCACCTCGAATCGGTCTTTATCATACAATCATCTCTAATGTCAGGAAAAAGCTTGGTTTTAACATACCTTTAAAATTTGTGGAAGTCTTTTATAATAAAAAATTGATCTACATATAATTTATTTATATTAATATGATAACTCGTGTTTTTTTATTTCTTAATACCCATTTTATTGCAATATAAGATATATCTTTAAATAGGTGACATGTTAAATGGATTATATGTAGATCAATCTTTTATTATAAAATAGGTGACATGTTAAATAGGTACTTTGTAATTGGGGGAATTTTTGTCATTGTCACTCAAATTCATTCCATTCATTAGTTTTTTCCTACGTACCAAACATGGATCAATATCCGTTTCATTCCAACGTATCAACCAACATGAAAATAAAATAATTGCCATTCAAAATAATAATAATAATAATAATAATAATAATAATTCATTCCATTACCTACTCCATTCCATTATCTCGTCGATTTCTTTCTCTCGTCATTCCATTTATGCATACCAAACATACCCTAATAAACTAAGGGTTGCACCTCCACGTGAAATGCAACAGAATCCTTTAAAGTTTTTTAATGGAAAATAATGATAATGTAATTTTGGATCAATATTATGAAATTAGAGTAAAAAGTTGATTGAAGTAGAATTATGAGTCTGAGATTATTTTACTGATTTTTTAAATAGTTTAATATCTAATCCGTAGGTCAGGAGGCGATACTAGTTATCAACCCCTGTTCCGACGAAAAACAAACCCTTTTGGTTTTTCTATAAGTACCTCCTTCATTTTCCAATCTCACCCCTGATTTGATCTTTTGTCTTTTTGTTGTTTTTTTTTTGTTTTTTTCCTATTTTGTTTTTTAGTTGTTTTTAATTCTTTTTTAATTTATATTATTATTATTATTATTATTATTATTATTGTTATAAATTTCGTATAAAATTTTAAAATTCGGACGACATTTTTATTGGTTAATTCTTTTTTAATTTATATATTATTATTATTATTATTATTATTATTATTATAATTGTTATAAATTTCGCATAAAATTTAAAATTCGGACGACATTATAAATTCAAACGGCTATAAAAATCAGTTTTTAAATATTTTTTTATATTTAATATTATATTATTACTGTTATTATTATAAACTTCAAACAACATTTTACAAATCGGACATTATAAATTCGAACGACTATATAAAATCGGAATTACAATTGTGTATTGCGTGGTGCATTATACGGATTGAAAACATTTAGTCGAGCACTATACAATGTTTCCCATGCAGCCGAATGTTCTGATCTGTATGTACGGAGAAGCCTGGACAAAACATCAGACATTGGATATGCTCCTTGTAAATCAACCATTACATAATGGTTAGGGTGAATGTGGGCGATAACGACATATGCAGGGTTTGGTATGTCTTGCGGGCCATATCGATGTGGGAACCACGTTGAAGAACCTTGTTTGTCTAGATAAATAACGATAACACCGTATCTGTTAGCAATGAGTATAGCAGTGTCTGACATAATCAACCAATACTCCGATACCGCAAAACCCGATCCAGAGTAATTCAACGAGTGACTTATGCGGTTTAAAAAATGAACATCATCATAAATCATAGCATACTCTTGATAGTGTGATAATAACTCGTTGTATAGATCGTACCTAATTTGAAGCCAATCATGTTCACTACGACCAAGAGCAACTGCTATAGACCGAAATCCACAATTTCCATCTCCTTCGACATTTGTAATGTTCCTGACGTATGGATGAAATTGATGTGGAATTTCATTCATAAGTGGGATTGAAGTATAAGATGGTTGATCTTGGTTAAAGTATGAATTGGACATTGAATGTTCGCGAAACGAGTACGTGCTATGCCTCTCTGGTTCCCGATTTAAGTCAAGGTCACTAGTATCCATATTATCTGTTCTATTTGTAGAAAAACTACGTCTACGAGTATTGGTAGGGGTGGGGTTTGGTATAGGTGGGGTGTTGTGGCCTACATTTTTGGACTTTTGTTTGCTCAATCGTGGACGTCCACGAGTATTTTTATGAACATCTGAATAAACAAGTAATTTTTTAGCATTTTATTATACAAATTAATATATTAAAGAAAATAGTATCTGGATCAACAACTGTAGTTGTTGATGGTGAAAATATGTCCCACAATTTTCTGACATAACTATGTTTCCGTTCATTTGACTGTTCAACGTAGCTTTCTTTTAATAATTCCACACCCTCTTTGAAACGAAAATTAATATCATCATTAACTTTGAAATTGATTAAATCAAGCTTACGCCAAAATTTATCAATAGACGATAATGGTATTGGTTGGTCCGCATATGAGTAAATTGCAATTTCGTGGGCACAAGGTAACCCACAACTACGACGCAATTGGCAACCACAATCGTCCTCAGTTATTTGATGTGCGTCAGGTCGGTCCAACTCTTGTCTAATTTTTTCCAATGCATGGTGTGAAACATTTCCACACAAACCTTTAAAATGGGGTATGTTGTATCGACGCATCAACTTAGTTCGGTTTGTTTCTAAAATATCTTTTATCGCAGTGTGTTGCGATTCCACTACCTTTTCTATTCAATAAAAATTTATCTAAGGTAGCATGTTGTGTCTGCAAGAATTTTTTCAACTTCGCGTGTTGGCTCTCAACTCTATTGTTGGTGTGGTTGTGAAAGTTTAAAACTTGGTTAATCCAAGCAGATACAAAATTTTCTTTGTATTTATCCAACCAGACTCGATTGAGATAATCGAGAACACCTAATTAAAAAAGTAAATGGTTAGCTTATTATTATATATATTAATATATAAAATAAAATAGTACCTGCATGATTTGTCGCTTATTATTATATATATTATATATATTAATATATAAAACAAGTTAATATTACAAATTTTTTCACGAGATTATGTTTGATTTTTTCTAACATTAACTTATTTTTACTAACTTAATCTAACTAAAATGGAAGTTTTACTACCATTAATGTATGTACAGATTTTTTTAATATACGATTAGAAAAAATTAAAAATTATCTTATTATAACCATGTACTTTTCATTAACGTAAAAAAAATCGTATTAAACATCGAAG